GGGGGGGGGGGGGGGCTGCGGGGAGGTAGGCCGGACCCAGCAGCACGTTTGGGGAATTCAGACTTTCTAGTGCTTTCTTAAAAAATATGTTTTTATTGATTTCAGAGAGAAAGAGAGAAACACCAATGATGAGAGTCACTGATCGGCTGCCTCCTGCCCGCCCCCGACCGGGAATCGAACCCTGACCTCCTGGTTCGCTGGTCAAGGCCCAACCACCGAGCCACGCCGGCCGTGCGTTCTAGCTGTTTCACTACCGAAATCTGTAGTTACAGTGGCAAAGGCTGCATCTCTTAGTGTTACTATCTGTCACCTCCCTACTGTAACATTGTATTCGGAGGCTTCCCTCTCCTCTGTGTCGAAGGGTCAGAGACTCCTCGGGTTTCAGAGGGACCTTGAAGGGTACCTGGTCCGGAGTGAATTTAGCAAAGCTCTAAGATACAAATAACCTGCAAAACCCAGCTGTATTTCTTTTCTTCTTTTTTTTAATCGTCACCCAAGGAGTGAGGATATTTTTTTCCCCATTGATTTTTAGAGGAAGTGGAAGGGAGGGAGGAAAGGGGGAGAGGGAGAGGGGGAGGGAGAGAGAAACACTGATGTGAGAGACACACTGACTGGCTGCCTCCCGCACGCACCCCGATCAGAGCCGGGAATTGAACCTGCAACCCAGGTACGTGCCGCTGACCGGAACTGAACCCGCAACCCTCTGGGGTGGAGGCCGACGCTCTAACCACGAAGGCACACCGGCCAGGCCAGCTGTATTTTCTGCACGCTAACGAAACACTGGACAATAAAACTGGAAATGAACAAGACCTGTTTTTACATTCCTGAGAAATGCAGGCAGAGTGGCCCTCAGGGCCCAGGTGTCATCCTCCGAAGAGCTATGGGGCGGGGCAGGCTGCTGGGAGCGACACAGGCCAGGCTGGGGGAGGGTGGGGAACGGTCCCAGAGCACTGGGGAGGGCTGGCAGGGCCGGGGCACCTCTCCCAGGGTGGCTGAGGGCACCTGACCCCCACCCTTCACCTTCTGCGGAGCGATGGGCACAGCCGCCCTCCGTGGGCCTTGGTCAGATCCGAACCCGCAGGGCTCCTGCCCTTCTGAGTCCCTCCCAGTTCCTCAGGGGCTCTCCTGGGACCGACCCTAAGAAAGTGCTGATTCCCATAAATACCTGGCTCTGCCACTACTTCTGGGGAGAACACAACTGAGGACAATCCTGCTTGGCGAAGACTTATGTATAAGACGCTAAACGCAGACACGCACATACGGGTGACATTTGCTGTCACACTGAATGTGTTATTTAGCACTTTTCACATATAATTATAAGTCATATCGGTATAAAATGAGCTGCAGTAAGCACGGGTTTAATCCCAAAAGGGTCAGGTTCAAATTTTCTGCTAAAATTTAAGATCAATAAAGTTCTCTCAAGAGATTATCCACTGTAGTAATTTTTTTTTCTTTCTTTTTAACCGGTGTTATTTCAGATTAGTTTATGACATATTCTACTAAAAAAAAAAAACAAAACAAAACAGCAGGACCCACCGAGGGAGGGAGCAGTTTCATGTTAATAGCTCAGACTTCGGTCTGGACCCCACCTCTCACCCGCTCTGTGGATTAAGACCTTAAGTTCTAGAATCTGTGGTTTCGGCTCCGTGATTTAAGCTCCTTAACACTAGGCGTTGAGTTTTTTTATCTGTAGAAAGAGGACAGTGATAGCACGTTCCCCATAGGCTGCCACAAAGATCATGAATTCGGACAAGACCTCAGTGCAGTGCCTGCTGCGTGGACAGGCCCCGATACGCGTCCGCTGGTATTTCCGGACTGGTCTGACCTCGCCAGGTAGCCATCCAAATAACACACTGAGGATACACAAGAACCCGGCACGCTTACTTGTAATGTTGTATCGAAGACGACAAGCTTGGAGCTGGTTGGCACGATGTCGTAACACTTGTGTGACCTCATGAATCGCATGTAAACGCCACTTTCTGAGTCTTCTGCTAAGAAGAGGAAAAAAAAAAAAGGCAAATATCAGTAATAACGGAGAACTCCCTCAACTGAAGTATACGTATGAAAAACCTACCGCCGACGGACTTAACCGAAAATATGAAATGTTTTCCCTGCACGCGCGAGGAGAAGACACAGGCATCTACTCTTGCTAACGCAACACTGGGCTACAGGTCGTCGCTGGTGCAATAAGGCAAGAAAAAAAAATGAAGCAGACAGGTTGAAAAAGAAAAAGCGAAACTTTGTATCTGCAGACTACATGATTTCCTACATAGAAAATACCAAAGGATCTACAAAAAAGTTTCCAGATCTAAAAAAAAAAAAAGGTTAGCAAGGTCACAGAAGGCAGAGTTAATAAACTAAAAACATGCTCCTGTATCTCTATACACTGTCGATGAACAACCGGGCGGTAAAATTTTTTTTAACATGAAGGTTTTTGTTGGGAGCAGAGACGCCGATCACGTTCTGTTGACCGTGATTGTTAGCTAGTTAGAAGAAATAGTGATCATGTTCTGTTAACTGTGATTGTTCTGTTCTCATTAGAAAAATCGCTTTCTAACCTGGCTGGGAGTTGTACTCCCCGGGACATGGGAGTTGACCTTGGAGCTCGGTCCATTCTCTTTATCATGGAAAGATAACACACTTGTTCCCGAAACAAAGGGGTACCAGGGGCGCCCCGCCCTTTTGCAAACCCCCAGCCTGCGTTTCCTGTAACCTGTAAACCATTCTATCCGTGCTTATTCCTTTTTGCCCCCTTCTACCCAGGATAAGCAACGGGCTTATGGGGGGCGGGGGTAGAACTGATTTTATGTGGACAAATCCTGCTGCTCTCCCATGTTGCTGGCATTATTGCAATAAACGCTCACATATGATTCAACCTTTTCTCTGCTTAATTGGCTGAAGTAGAGACAGGCAGTCTGGAGCCGCTGTGCCCGGTTCCAGCACCATTTACATAAATATCGTATGGAAATATAGACCTACACAAAAGCACACCCAAACGGTAACCACGTGGACAAATGTACGTCTTTCTGATCGTTTAAATCTCTGAAAGAGTTAACTGACAATTGGCAAAACTGACAATTAACTGACAGTGCACAGTGGGGTTTGGAGCACGTTTACTAGTAGGCTGAGTGGCACCACCGTCCGACCAATGATACAGAAATCCAGGAATCCTCCTTGTCACGTCGCCTCCTTCGTCCTAACCAATTTATCACAACGCACTATGGAGTTTACACCCAATTCTCTCTTAAACCCATCCGTTCCCCTCTGCCTCTGGGGTCACCGCCCGCGATCTAATAAACACCCTGACTTCCTAACTGGCCTCTTGCTTCCCACCCTGTTCCCTTTCCAGCTGCCCACGTGGCATCCAGAATGGTGTTGCCAGACATAAATCTAACCCCGTCACCCCTCTGCAGCCAACACTCAATGGCTTCTAAGGACTTTAGAAAAGAAAAAAATGACAAAATCCTTGACCCTGCCTTGAAAGGTCTGGTTCCCCCTCTGGCCTCCCCGGGGCTTCCTCCAGTCACCACGTCTTCTCTTAGTCCCTCCGAAATGCTACGGTCTCTCTTCCCACAGAGCCTTCGACAGCTGGGTCCTCGGCCTGGAATACCTTCTCCATCTCTTCTTGGGCCAGTTAATTCCTCCCTCCTTCGCTAGGCCAGCTCATGGACGTGACTGAGAAGTTGTGGAACCAAGAATTTGAACCCAGATGCCTTTTTTAATCTTAATCTTCCCCTGAGGATATTTTCCCGTTGATTTTAGATAAGAGTGAAAGGGAGGGAGAGGGAGAGAGAAACATCAATGATGAGAGGTCACTGATCGGCTGCCTCCTGACTGGGGATTGAGCCCAAACCCAGGCATGGGCCCTGACCCAGAGTTGAACTGTCAACCTTTTAGTGCATGGGACTGGAACCACCTGAGCCACACCAGCCAGGGCTGTTGGACCTTGTTTTTGACGACCTTGACCGTTTGGAGGGGGTGCTGGGCAGGCAGCCTGTAGAATGGCTCTCAGCTCAGATTTGTATGATGTTTCTCTCGTGATCTTAACCTTGGGGCTGTGTTCCGGGAGGAAGACCGTAAGGTAAGAGGCCGCCTCGTCCCACCACATCGAGGGTACCTTCTGGCCCACCTGGCTCAGGGGGCAGCTGTCAGTTGCCCCACTGTACTCTCTCCCTCCTTCTCGAGGAGGTCACCCCGTGGGGTCCAAGCCTGAAGGGTCCGGAGTGACGCTCCACCTCCTCGAGGGCGGAGCAGCGACGGAAGAATTCGGAACGGGAGAGCTGTCTGTCTGTCTGCCTCTCTCAGTACGCACTCCGGACGTCTACGTCATACTCGGAGTTCCACTCCAATGCTACGTTAGGACTGGTCAGAGCTTGTGCCCGGGCCGGCAGGGTGCTCCCCGGCGTGAAGGGTCTGGGTGTAAGTGTGGAGCACACTCCAAGGTCCCTCAAGTCTGCCCTGACCCTGACTCCTCCCCGGACTCCCCCGCTCACACCTGCAGCCTCCACATCGGCGGGGACCTGAGGGGAGCTGGATGGGCCTCTGGGGTCCTCTGTGTGCGTGTCCTCAGGAGGCAGTGACAGTGAGGGCGCCGTGGGGCTCCCTGGGTTCTTTCCGGAGCACCTGCCAGCCCCCCCGACAATGACAGCCGGGTTCCCTCCATCACCGACGACTCGCGCTGTACACGTGTTACAACCAATGGACCGAAAAAATGGTAATGAACAAATTATTCACAGAAATCCATGGGTTACTCAGATTCCCTTAGTTTTTCTCTCTCCGGGATAGTGCATTAAGTTCGACCATGTCTCCCCTGAGCAGCTCCTCGTGGGAGGGACGGTTTCTCAGACGGCCCTGGTTCTGGTGGCCCGGGTCGCTCTGAAGAGGGCTGGGGGGACGCCCCTCGACTGGAATGTCTGATGTTTTTCTCCTGATTAGACTGGGGTTTGAGGAAGATAGAGAATGCTTTTTTTTTTTTAATTCTCATCTGAGGATATTTTTTCCATTGCTTTTGAGAGAGAGTGGAAAAGAGAGAGAGAAAGAGAGGGAGAGAGAAACACCGATGTGAAAGAGACACATCGACTGGTTGCCTCCTGCACGCACCCCAACTGGGGCCAGGGATCGAGCCTGCAACTGAGGTGCACCCCCCTTGGCCAGAATTGAACCTGGGGGGCCCTTTAGTCCACGCAGGCCGATGCTCTAACCACCGAGCCAAACCAGCCAGGGCTAGACAATGTTTTTTTTTGTTTTTGTTAAATGTAAAAAGCCTGACCCAAGAAAGCAAACAAATTGCGACAAAATTTATTTTGGTTCGCCGTAGAAACAGATGACTATTGATGGAATAAAATAACATCAACAATGCAAGTGCCTGCACTTAAGTTAGGAAAAGAAAGTAAAATGTTCTAAAATGTCATCGCTTCTCCACACGCAGGGTAAAGCTTCCTGACGTCAGGTGGCCTCACCTGCGTTACTGACATTAAGATGAAACCTCAAAAGGCACTTGCAGGGAAAAATGCACCAAAACAGAGAAAACTAGAGCGATCTGGAGTTAAACCCAAAAGAAAAAAAAACAAAACCACAAAAAACAACAAAACCACCCGACACTAACAGGGTGCTTGGAATGCATTATTAAAATTCCTCAGCAGGCATGAGGTTCAAACTCTCATTACCGCCCAGGTAGCTGGGGTTAGATAGTATCGCAGTGTTCCATTCTTTTGTTATTTTGTATCTCCCTGCGTAGCTGCATAGTTACAGTGTTACACTGGCACCCGAGCTACTGCTCAACCAGAGGAGGCCGTTTGTGGACGGACGGGAAACCTCAGCGCCCTCCCAGTGATACGCTAACCCAGCATCGTCGTCCCAGGGAGTTGCCGGAGTGCTGCCAGGAAGCAGAAAGCACACGGTCAAGTGTTTAATTTGCGACGGTCAACGAAACAATTCGAAAACGCCGCATCTATGTTTCAAAGGGAAGCGATCAGACACACCAACCAGGAAACCCGAGGAAGCAAGCGTTTCTCTTCCTAAAAGGTCTGACTACAGTTCTAGCCAGTCTGGCTCCGTGGGTAGAGTGTCGGCCTTTGGACTGAAGGGTCCCAGGCTGATTTGGGCCAAGGGCACGTGCCTCGGTTGCGGGCTCGATACCCGGCCAGGTCGGTTGGGGTACGAGCGGGAGGCAACCAACGGATGTCTCTCACACATTGATGTTTCTCTCTCCCTCCCACTCTTTCCGAAAAGCCATGGAAAAATATCTTCCGGTGAGGGTTAAAATAAAAAAATAAATAAAAGATCTGACTACATACCACCCTTGGCTCAATACCCCACCCCCCATCTTTCCACATTTCTAGCCATAGGACTCTAGCTCACCACATTCCCTAGGGACCTGACACTCGAGGGTCCCACCGATGCTTCCTTTGGGAACGTGATCCTTGTTTCCGCGTCTTCTCTGTGCATGTTCTCTGTTCCAAATGGTGCCTTCCTGTCGCCCCTCCTTTTCTGTAACGGGTTGAATAGCGGGCCCCCCAAAGATACCCTTCCTGGCACAATGGAAGGAGACCTTATTTGGAATAAAGGTCTTCTCTGATGTAATGAAAGGAAGGATCTTGAGATGAGATCATCCTGGATTACGGTGGGCCCTCAGTCCAATGACCAGGAGAGAGAATTGGAGACACATAGATAACCACGGGAAGACGGAGGCAGAGATCAGAGCGACACAGCCACAAGCCCAGGACACCAAGGGCGGCGGCAAACCACGAACGCTGAGGGCGAGGGGCCTGGGGGAGACGCTCCCTCAGAGCCTCCAGAAGGAGCCAGCCCTGCCGACACCTGGATTTCAGACTTGGGGCCTCCAGGCTGCGAGAGAACAAAGCTCCGTCGTTCTAAGGCACCAAGTGTGTGAGACAATGTGCCACGGAGGCCTCAGGAAACGAAGGCACCTTCAAAGTTCAGTTCAAAGGCCCGTAACACCTTCCCGAAGACCCTCAAGTCAGAAGGACTTGCTCCAGCTTCGACACTCCCATTCGAGTTTTGTCACTTTTTTTTTTTTAATCCTCAGAGAAATTAAAATATTTTTTAAGTATCAGAGGATATTTTTTCCATTGTTTTTCAGAGAGAGACTGGAAGAGGGCAGGGGGAGGTGAGAGAGAGAAACATGGATCTGCAGGAGACACACTGATTGGTTGCCTCCTGCACACGCCCCAACCGGGGGTCGAGCCTGCAACCCAGGGACGTGCCCTTGGCTGGAATCGAACCCGGGATCCTTCAGGCCTCCGCCAACACGCTAACCGCTGAACCAACTGGCCAGGGCGGTCACTCGCTTTTGGAGCTGCACGCCTTGCACCGTTAGGCGTCTGCATTTCCCTTAGACTGTAGCTTTCTGAGGCCGTGGACACGCACCCGGCAAGTTCCTCTGGGTGTCAGGACAGGCCTCGGGCCTGCTGAATTACATGTCACCGGCAGACACACCAGTAAAACGCAGACGACCAAGTAGGAGTCTGAGGTTACGACGTGACATTTCTAACCTCAGAGAGAAAACCAACAACATACGTGAGTTTAAAAGAAAACTGATGATTCCAGATTTAGTGATCAGTAAGGTAACTTGATTTACAGGCCTTTATAAGATCGAGGGGTTGAAAAGGGATGTTTTCGGTGGCAGAAATAACGTACCTATGGAAATGCCCCATGGAACTTTTTTTTAAGCAAAACAGCGTTGATCTAAAGCTTTAAAAGTGTTTGCAGGGATATTTTACACTGAAGCTATTTTCTATGTGTATTGGACAAAAAAAAAGCAATTGAATTGAATAAAACTGCTGAAGCCCTGAAAACGTTCACAGTATCGTAAACATTTAAAAAAACCCCAAAATACAGCAAAACAACTTTACAGTCATAAACGACTTTTTCTCAAAACTATTTACACAGGATTTTAATTTAGAATGTGTAAAAAAAGCATATCCTACGATGGTGTGAATTTATGACATTTCCAGCCTCAACTGTATGAAAATGAACAGACTGCACTGTCATCGGTCATTTGTTCGCCTGAGAAAGATGAGGCCGAGGGAGGGGACAGAGAGGACGAGAGGAGGAGGTGACGGTGGGTGCCGCCCCCAAGCACCGGCCGAGGCAAGTGTCCCCTAGGACGCCGAGGGACACAACTCACCCAAGGGAGGTGACAAAAAATATCAAAGGCCGGTTTCAATGAACTTGACTCGGGAACGGTATCGCCAAACCTTGGGCAGCACAGAGAATTAATTCCGCTCGCTCTGGGCCACACGCTCCAGTGAACTGCTCGGACCCCGGAGACTTCGAGTCAAAGAACACAACGAAAGCCTTTGAGTACGGAACAGTAACTGCTCACTGTGACCAGCTCCTGTCGCTCTGCTGCTGTTGCTAAATCCACAACTAGAAACACCGGCTCGCCGCGGGGCCTAAATTTCTTTTTTT